CCTTCAGAGCTTGCTAGTGCCTTGCTGATGTGAAGTGCAGGTAGACCAAGCAGACAGACCATGTCAGGAATAAGGCAAGGATTTGAGTAGGAGTCACGGTTTTAATTTTGCACTTTGCTGTAAAAAGGGAAGCCCTTGGCCATATTCAGCAAGGTTAGACCTTACCCAGCAAGTCAGTAGCCAGTAATCACGGTACACTTAACATGACAGTTGTTTTAGGAAAAGTTCAGGTCTGGTGAAGTGAGCTATCTACGCATTAGATTATTTGAATTTCTGGAAAAAATTTACCTATGTAAGATCAGACGTTTCATTCAAGATACTATTTTTTCCCCCAAATAAAATTAAACCTGTCATAAAAAAACATTGGGAGGTTGAGAGAATGAGGTGAACAGTTCCACTGTTGAGTGCTTCATGGTTTAACCACTTTTCTTAGTTCAGTCCTTCTGAATGAACGCCTTTCTTTGAGTTAATTTCTAAATGAACCAAGAAATTACAAATAAATCTCTTATCTGAACACTGTTTAGATAAATCTTATACTCAGATGTTGTTATCTAAAAGCTCATATCATATCAAACTAATAAAGATAATTATGTATTGCACCTAATATGTTACACTCAGCTTGATCTACTGGATATGTTATCTTGATTTTTGAACTTGGCCAAGTAAGTTTGTTCATGTCAGACTTTCATATATAACAGGGCATTCAAAATCTAGAAAAATAATCAAAAGAGCTGAGTTTACAAAACATGAATAGTTTAAAAATGATGCTCCACAGTTTTTGGCTGTGTGTTTTCTCCAGAGGTGCTTATTAGGTTTGGGGTTTTTTGTTTTTGCTGCTAAACTGGTAATTGAAGTTAAGTATAGGAAGATTCAACTGCTGTGTTACATAGTTAATGGTTGAACTCAATTCTACTGATGCAAAGAAGCTGTAGTATATTAATTATGACTGTCTTCAGCCTGTCTTGTCTTGCCCTTGTATTTGTTTATCTATATGGACACAATAAGCAAGATTTATAGCAGAATTTCACTATTGATTCCAAAATCTTAGGCTTTTATCCTGTGAAAGTGAGAACAAAAAATCATTTGAATTCAGGTTCCTTGTTTAACTACTTTTGCAGCAGGGTTACTGTTCACACAGGTCTGTAGTTCCAAAGGTCAGGCTGTTTTTCCACCGTCCTGGATTGCATTTTTAAAAAAGAAATTTTTTCTCTGTCTGAAGTATTTTAAATAGCTCCAGTCCAAGGCAGGCAATTAATGTCTGCTCAGTGGAAGCTGAGAGGTTGATAGGCTCCATAACATAATGCCACGGTGTTTCTAACCACTGATTCTAATGTTAATTTGTGGGTTTCAAAATGGAAAATTATATGTGTGTGTGCATGTGTGAATAATCATTTTTTAAAAAAACCCACAATGTAGAACACTTCATATTTTGTTTTCTTTGAACATTGTTATTATCTGGGTATTTTCCGCAGAGGAAGAATGTATTAATGTAATTGGGCAGTAGCTCAAGGAGTGAATAGAACTGAGATTTCATCCATTAATATTTCAATCAAGTCCTGATGACTCAGTTAACAATAATAATGTATTCTCCATAATTTACTGCTCTTTATACTGCAAGGGTGTCATATGCAAGGAGACTAGATAGATCCCATGGGTTAAATGTGGAAAAAACGGGCCTTTTTGCAGCTGCAGAGTTCTGCTCTGATGTTTTCTTGTTTCTCCTACTCTCGATTTGTGATAATGTTATCTCTGTCAGTACAGTAATGGTCAGTGAGACCTTGAATGTAGCAGCAAAGGAGTGTAATTTTCCCTAACTGACAACCCCCCTAACATTAAGACAAGCTCCTCCTTTTCCCTCAGCAATTTTCCTCATGATACAAGTCCCATCCGTTTGCCCCTGCTTGTCTTGTACCTTAAAGAAATTCAGTTAAATGGCAGCTGCATACAGCTGGTTCCTGGGTGACAAGCAGCTGTTAGTAAGCCAAAGACCAATTTGCAAGGTGCTCCGGTGAAATTCCCCTGAAGAAGAGATGCTCCAAACTTTGTTCCAAGGGAAATTAAGCCTGGGACTTGGACACACTGTTCTCACCTGGCCCAGTTCCACATTGAATGAAGCAGAGGTCCTGGTGGTGTTATAGTATATTATTTTATAAATAAAGACTGAAAAGGAGAATGCATGTGCAAAAGGGGTATCATTAACTTAATGCTGAGCTCTTGTTGCTGAAAGCTCAGTACTATCTTAACATGCAATCTGATCCAAAGAATATTTATTACTGTTTGATTTTGCTGGACATTACAGCTCAATAGTAAGCTTTCCAGTTTTGTTTTTATGGCATCTATGTCTGCAAAACTCAGATTTCGTGCTTTTGGTAAAGGAAATACTAGCTGTACATTGAATAAAAACAGAGTGGCACTTTGGAAATTAAGTTTCAGTGATAATATTGAGAAACGCTTCACAGAACCGTTGCCTTTGTCTAGCTCTTATTATTATTATTATTATTGCTATTATTAAAATCCTTTTGAGGTGGTTTATACTGAATTGACTTATGGGAGGGAAATCAGAAAGTTCCCATTCATTTTGTGGCACAGCATTCTTGTGATTTTCTTTTTTTTTTTTTTTCATTTGTGATGTCGTGCTTTTTCTGCATTTGTGGAAAGGTTGCTCTGTATATATTGGTATTGGAGAGTGTCTAAGGGCAAATACTATGCCCTGCTGAGCAACAACAGTTATTTTACAAGGGCTATTTTTTGCATTCAAAACGTGTACCAACATTTGGTTTGTTACCATGGACTGGGTACAATTGATACTGCTGCTAGACCACAAGGAAGATTTTATGTCCTTGGAATTTTTAGACTGCTTATATGTGTTTGGTTATCTTTGTCTCCTATTATGTTATCTTTATCAAGTTTAATTTGTCTGTTAACATCTTGGGAATTTTGTGTACTCACATTTTTCTTCCAACGGAGAATTTATAATTGGATAACAATTACTTAAATTTTCTTTTTATCAGGATTTATTGGTTCATATTTTATTATTTATAAATCATGTAAATATACAAGGGTTTTAGGGTGGGTTTTTTTTAGCACTTTTTCCCCCTGTAAGTCTGTTGAAAACTGTGGAGGACTCAAGAACTGCGCTATGGCAACATTTTTACGCTTAAAGTGGATGGCATGCTTGCTCTTTAAAGATAGTGCATTGCTTTTAATAGTCCAGAGCCTTTTTTCCTTGTTATGTTTGTCTTGCAATTGTTCCATGGGAATAATACTAATTGCCTAGTTTGACCTCAATAGTATATGTGGCCTTGAAGCAGACACTACTTAAAGACAGAACGGTAAATGAAAAATGCAATAAGATACAAAATGGTGCTTGCCAAAGTAGCCTGCTTCCTTTTTTTGGTGACATTTTTTAAATGAAAGGGACTCTGTGAAGCATTAAATGCTGGGCTTGATCATAAATTTGTATTCTAATGCCATATGAACAAGACTGGAAAGAGTATCCTTAGTCTCCAAGTTCAGGCAAAAAGATTACACGCAGGAGGTCGTTTATTTCCATACTTTTCAAGCAGCTTCTTACAATTAATGAGAATTTTTTATCCCCACTACTTGGAGTGGAGGGGAGTTTTCATATCTCACTGTTTGAGAACTGTCTTCTAATTTCCAACTGAAATTTATCTGCAGATAATGAATACCCATATGTTCCTGCATCAACACTGCTCTTCAGCTTCAATAGCTCTTTTCCCTCTTTGCTCTTAACCCCTGAGATATTTACAACAGCAATCTAATCCCCTTTAACTGCTGTTTTGTTGGACTGAGTTCTCCTAAATGGTTCAGAGATGTGATATGAATGACAGAGTACTATCGAGTAGTGTCACTCCAGAATTACTTTGTGGACAAACCTCATTAACTACTTTCCTGAAAGGACTTGTTGCAAACAGTGAGAATATACTGCGAAAGCATGCTGATGATAAAAATGTAGGACGTTTTGTCGGTGAAAAAGAGAATTCAAACATCTTACATCAGAATTGGAGTGATTTTTTAAAATTTATTTTATTTTTTGCGGATTGGGAAAATAAAAATGGAATTAAGCTGATGGTATAAAGTCTAAAAGCATGACAGGTATGATTAACCTATGTTACCCCTGCTCACAAGGGATTGATTCAAGGTGGAATAAGTACAAAGAAGACTACTAGGATGAATAGAAGAATTTCAGATCTCAATTTTGGGGTTTTTTTTGTCTCTCCAGAAAAATGTAACAAATTGTTTTTCTATTCCAGTGTCAATAAAATGTTTTCTTAGAGTGAAAACTTGTTCTTTAGGATATGATTACACTGTTCAAAGCCGGGTTTCACTTTTAATATAAAGTATTTTTGTTACTGTTGCCAATGAAGCCAGTGATTTTTACAAAAACAGAGAAGTGCATCTATTTTTAATACCTCTGTCTTCCCATCTTGAAGACTTCGGGTTTTTTAGCAGGAGATACTGTGGTTGGATGCCTCCTGTACCGGGAGAACAAGTCAGATATCAGTGATGACATCTGACATATGTTACTGCACTATGTAGGTCACTTACAGCCTAATGTGGAAGATGACAAAAGATAATTAATTTTGATTTCATGCTTGTGATTCCTTAAGGAAGACTTTAATGGTTTGTGTGGAATATCAAGAGACGTCTACTAAGTCACTGCATAAGAGCAAGAGCTCAGTCTTTTGGAAGCAGTGATTACACATTCTAATTCAAACTTTCCAGCAAGGGAGATGGCTTTTCTTCGTGATATTTGAATGCACCTTTTCTGCTAGCTATTATGTGAAGTAAGGATACATATCCTTAGTAATTGTGAGAAATACGTTCCTCTTCTAGCAACCAGGAGCTGTTTTTTAGCACACAAAGTGCCTTGGTTTGCACACAGCTATAAAATCAAAGTCTTTCTATTTACAAGGGTACGGAATAGTTTATATCAATATAACTTATTTAATTACTGTCTTTTTCTGTTTAATTCCTAGGGTTTCCATGTTTACACGTTCTATGGTCACCTGCCTTCCTGCAATACATTCAATATGAAGGTAAGTTCTGCATATGAATTTCCTTTTCTTTTCTTTTTTCTTTTTTTTTTTTTTTTCAATCATCGTGTTTCTTGCTCTGGTAAATACTGTCATGCACTTTGGTGAAATAGATACCTCTGTGGCTGAATTCAGGATTAGTAATGACTTCTAGAGCGGATCAGTGTGGCACACACCTGCCAACCAGAGCGGGGTCCCAGAGACTGTTACAATAAAGCTGCCCCCCTCCTTGTGCCTACCTCCTTTTTCCTTCGATCAGTGCATGATATCTAAGCCATTCTCCTTTGTCATGATCATTTAGTTACTTTACTTAAATGAATTTTGCTGCTAGGTTATTTTCCTGGATGGTTAAATTTATAGTTGTTGTCTAAAAAGGATCATTTTGATTGGGATTGGTGACAGACTGTGATCTTAATGCCTGTTAATTTTGGAAGGGAAGTAATTTTTCCAAAATGTTTCTCTGAGGTGATATGTAATATTCTGAAATGGTTAAAACATTTATAGTGTATGGTTCCTCTAGCTTTCCTAGTCGCACTGCTCTTTAAAACTGCTGTGGAAGTGGTGAGGCATGTGCTGGTTTCTGCTACCACTTGCACTCCTTTCTCTCAGGGACCAGCTTTCCTCCATCTTTCCTGAAAAAATATCTTAACAGCGTTCATGCTCCCTGTGCTCTCACTGCACAGCAAGGTCCCAATTTATACTGTAGGAAATCCTGAATATCCTCCTCTTGTTCTGTATCAGCTACTGCTTTCCCATCTGCTTATGTCAACCCTAGGTGTTTATAGGGTAAAACCTAAGGGCTGATGTAGCAGAAAGTGTGGGATAACTTATGTCAAGAAGGGGAATAGGAATTCCCAAGGCATCCTAATCCTTTCTTGGCCACATGTGTGTATCTGTATATTTGACAGGCACAACCTGCCTTTCAATACTGTGAAACACCGTGGTGTAGAACAAAGAATATTTAACAGTAGCAAGAATTGTGAAGGAAATACTATAGCAATGCTATAGCACTGTCTTTAACGTATTTACAAAGAACCTCATGCTCTAATATGACCTATAATAATGAACAGGAAGCTGAAAGACTGTGTGCTGATAATCTTCCAGATAAGCATGTTATTTTGATAAAGAATATTATAGTTGGCATTAAACTCTAGACTAAAATCATTGGTTGACATTCTCAATGATTGAATTAGTAAAAATGGAAACATCCAGTGCAGCATTGATTAAACTGAGTGAGGAATATAATTTCAGAAGCTGTAATTGCAGTTATATAAATTAACTCTGTATGTACTGGAAAACTACTGAAAAGCCTAAGTAATTGGTCCTGAGTTGTACAAGTTACAGTTGTCACATTGGTTGGCTAGCAAAGCAAGTGCTGTATTTCAACCAAATATAGCAACAAAGAACTGCTTTCTAACCCTCTAGTGTTTGCCCTCTAAGAAATGAAAATATACCACCCTAAAGCAGCTAATTAAGGTGTTTCGAGTGACAATTTTTTTGTTAACTTTTTTGTTAAAAGGTGTGTGTCTTATGAGGAAAAAGGTTTTTTATAGAAATATTAGTATTCTCAACATTATTTTAATTGGAAAGATTTTGGAGATTGAGCATAAAGTGTTTGGACAAAGGTGCAACATCACTTCCAGAATGGCCAATAGAAAGCCTAATTGCTAGACCTGGCCAAAGCAACTTTGCAGCCAGGAAAAGATTTGTTGTAAAAGTCTGGTTTCTTAAGTCTGAAATGGCCAAACAGAAGGCTGATTTCTGACAGAATCCTACCTGGATTTTTTTTTTAATTTCTTTTTCTTTTTATATCCTAATGTCACAGCTCTGCAGATCCCATGCTTTGTCAGAATTCTTGTCTATAGAGTCAGACTCTGTGGGTGCAGTGCTCTAATGGTGAAATATCCCAAAAGATTCACTTCTTTTTCTGCTTAGGATATAGGTCAGTTTAAGTAGGCTCCTAAATCACTTCAGTGGGCTTGTGATAGTTGTGTCTCAGGCTGCTTGGTGCTCAAAGGCGTTTTGAAAGGACATGAAATTCTAATTACACAATGTCCTGTAGAGAAAATAAAAAAAAAAAAAAAAGAACAGATTTTCCAGTTAAATCAGAGAGCCATCCAGGCAGTGTGTCCAAAAAATAATGGATATTTCAGGCAAAAAGTATTGTATGAGGAAGAAGGAAAAAAAGAATAATACATTTATACAAATTGAATAAATCCTCATTAAATTCTGTGAAACTGGTTAAATCTGAGTTATTTACTATACCATGCTTCTGAAACTGTAGTTAATAGTTTTTTGTTAAGTGGGCAACGTTTAAAGCCAGAATTCTTAATAGTGTTCAGAGTCCATAATTAGCAATTTTTCTATGGAACATAACAGCCAGTTTAACACCTGAAATGTGGCCATTTGTTGGAGGCTGCCTTGCTGGGACACGAGCTCTCTGGAGAATCTGGCAGGTAGTCATATTGCCCTGACAGATACTCTGCTCTAACTTCTGTAGTTGTGGTTATATCAGGACTTAAAAGATACCGCTTTCGGCAGTGCAGTTTTTCAAGTTGGTTCTCTGTCTGTAGAAAGTCTGAGAAAATTTGAGCAAAATCCATATAGCTGTTTTCAAATTGAAGACCTAGAAAAGCGCGTCTTTCCTCCTGAATGTTGATGTTACTGTCCCTTTTACTCCCATGTCCCTGTAACACAACTAACTTTGTAGAGAAAAATGTTTAAAATGTTTCTTTTCCACTGAGGGCTAAGCCTTTGAGTAGAAATACGTGCGTGTGCTTGCAAGGATGGTTTTTTAGAGGCCACTGTGTGTGCTCCAATTCTCTTCAAAGGCTCTGAGTGCAGTAAAAGATACTTGTGAAAATACCTCACCTGGGAAAGCAAAGTTATGTGCTCCAGGGAAACGCAGGTGAGACTGCACCTATCAGTCAAAGTAATTTCCCTAGCTTTTGAATGTTACTGGGATTAGAGGTCACCCCACTTAATTGTTGGATTCAACATGACTGCACAAATGCAGGCTTATGATGGGCAAAAGGTGATGGAGGGACCCCCTTTGCTACCGAAGTGCCTACATCTGGCGGTCAAGGAAGGGATGTCCAAGTTAGCCCTGGCTCCCTCCTTCTCTGTTGTGGATGTTATGGAGATACTTTATGCATCGGTATAATTCATGTAAAGATGAAAAATCAAACCACTAACATTTTTATATTAGTACTTGTTTTTCATCAACAACTAGGAGAAAACAATGCCATTTCATGCAGTAGAATTCATCCAAGGAGCGGTGATCTCTTCTTGAACATTAGCAAACCTTTGCTATAGTGTAATATAAAATCTAAGCATGGCTTAAATAGCATTTGAAATAAGTTTTGCTTGTACTTTGCACAGTATTTTCCCAGCTTGGCAAATCACTGTATGCTAATGAGGTATAAAGACTATAGTTGCTTGGTTGAATCATTGTGAATTTAAAGTAGAATGAAATTTGCTCCCTTATGTGCGTGTATATACGTGTTTGTGTTCAAATAAGAGTATGATTATCATTCACCTGTGTTTGTCTGTATCTGCCATGCTGTGTTCATATGATGTCTGCATGTTAAGAAATCATTACAGAGGTTACCAAGTTTCCTTAAAACAAAAAAGTAGTTTTTGGAATTATAGTTTATATTAGGAAAACCTAAAAGACTACAAAAAACACGCCTGATAGCAACTGCCCAATTTTACCTCCTCAAGCCAAAATGCAAACAACATTTAGGTCATTCTTCCATTGATTTACTGAAGGACAAATAATGTCAGACAGTTTTTAAACAAAAACAAAATTTCAATTTTGTTTACCTCCTCAGCAGTCCAGTTGGATGTCAGCTACCATTTAGCTGGGCCAATAATATTGATATTTGATGTCAGTTCTTATTCATTACTGCACCCAAATGATGCAAAAGTCAGATCTTTCAGATGTTTCTATGGATGGCCAAATAAAGCCAGGGATGTCTGACTGCATCTAACAGACACAAACAAGAAAAGAACAGAATACAAAATCAAAAACCTATCTGCTCTTATTGTTATTTATGTATTCAAAGTGTTCACCTCTTTGCATAAACTCAAAGCCAGTTACTTACAAAGGTTACCTAGTAATATCAAACGTGTTCAATTATACATGCAAAAAGGCTAATAGGTTCTTCCTCTAGTTTATTTCTGTCTCTGTGCATAAGAAATATAATTACAGAACTGAATTACATTTTAAATACAGATTTTAGTATCATTAGTTAACCATTTTCAGGCCATCGAACGTTGTTAGAAGTAAAAAAAATAAATCTATTCTGTCTGTGTCATGGCAAAGAATAAAATCTGCATAAAAATAGTCTCATTTCACTCGTTGGGAAAAAGCTCTTTCTGATAATATTGAAATTCACAGAAAATCGTGCTGTAATCCACTTCCTCATCCATTCTCTGAAATATTCGTGTTATTCCCTATTTTTGGGAGTAATTTTCCTGGAATGATCTCTTCCTTTGGCCGGGCATACTGTTTAATCGCTTCCTGGCATCTCTGATGCTGTTGGTATTCACAGACCCCTACAGTTAGCAAGTATGTGCCTGTTTTATGCATTAGGTGTAGACCAGATAAGGTGTTGTGAAACCACTCTAGAAGAATTGAGTAGATCCATCTTTATTTTGATCAGTGTAAATAGTCTTCTATCCAGCTCTGATATCAGAGTCTGAATATAGAAGGCTGGATAAACAAGTAATAATATGTCTACCAGATATCCTAGAAGTAAAAAAATTCCTCCATCTCTTTCTATGAGGAAGCTCCAATGTGGGTGGACCTATCTGACCACGTTCAGAAGGCCAAGGAAATTCATGCTGCATTGGTTTTTACAGGGGTGTCTCTCCCAGGGTGCTGTATTCCTGTGTCCCTGAAAAGAGAGTTTTATCAAAGGCGCTTCAACTGGACTGAAAAAAAATCCAAGCCTGATTTTTAAATGTCACACCTTGTTGGTGTCATTCAGTTTCCCATC